GGGGGGGGGGGGGAGTAATAACCCACCCCAGAAGGCAGAAGCGCTCTCTTGCCCATCCTCAGCGACCCACGTAAAAAAATACCCGGCGTGAAGCCCAACGCGTCCCGGAGCACCCGCTCCTGGCCCACTGAACTTTTGACCCGTTGGCAGCGAGAGGCTGAACCCCTTACTGAGTCCACGGCCGGGAGATGCTGCGGCGGAGATTTGAAAAGAGGAGCCCTGCGCCACGTCAGGCGCCTGCATCTGCCGGAGCCAGCATGGGGGCCGGCTGCGCCCACCCCCTCCCCGAACAATGCCCAGGGCCCAGCCTGATGGATGCGCTCCTTTCTTCCAGTTTTGGATATCCCCTTCCCCGGTAAGTCTGTTGTCTACGCGTCGGTCCGGCACAAAAAAAAAAAATTAAAAAAAAAAGCAAACAAAACATCTGCTTCCCAGGTTTCTGACATCCAGCTGCTGATGGCAGCTCCGCATCTGGAAGCTTCACTTTCTTCTGGGCCAATAAGTAGAGGGCGAAAGGTTTGCATTTAAAAAGAAACCAAAAAAAAAAAAAAAAATTAAATAAAAAGAGCTCCGTTGCTGCCTCCCTCTACTAAAGCCCCCAAACTTCTCAAATACCATCAGCAAATCTGCTCGGCACAGGAGGGATGGGTCCAGATGGTCTATCATTACAGAGCCTTCCAGCTAGCTATGGGCAGACCCATCAGAAGAAAAAAAAAAAAAAATCAGTGAAGGGGTGGAAAAAAAACAAAACAAAAGCTAACTACAGCTGGGGATTTGTGTTGGGGTTTTTTTTGTTGTTGTTTTGTTGGTTTTGTTTGTTTGTTTTTATGTTTTGGTTGGTTTTTTTAACATATTGAAAGCTTGGGTTGTGTCTGGTTTGAGGTCTGCAGAGGCTGGAGCAGCGAAACCCTAACCTCACCCTCTCCTAAAATTGGGGGGAGGAAGAGAGCGGAGGGTATTTGTTACAAACAGAATTAAAGTTTTAAACAAACTTTCACTTGTTACAATGTTGTAAGAGTTTAGCACCAAACTGCAGGTGAGAGATACACTAGTATCAGAAAAAGGAAAAAAAAAAAACAAAACACCAAAACCAAACCACCAGCCAGGCTTTGATTTAAGAGGACCTCAGCCCTCCTTGCAATATCCTTCAAGAAGAGCCAATTGCATCCAGAGCAAGGCCATCCCTTAGAGATATGGTATGGAGCCAGACAGATATTTGCCATGAAGGCTCAAGGAGCGTGAGCATGACCATCAGCCAGCTGAAACCCACTGAGGTGAGCCCTCCCAGCTCTCCATTCCTGCTTCCACACACAAGAAAAGAAGTCCACCCAAACCACCTGTTTTACTTTGCATCTAAATGGACCAGGGCACTCAACCCTGGCTTACCCATCCAGGCAGTAACTTCTCAAACCGCTGGCATTGCCCCACAAGCACTCATCCCTACAATAACCAAAGATAAAGCAAGAAAATGTCATTTGTAGATGAGCACAGTTTCAGGTTTTGATGGCCGGCTAAGGCTTTAATTCCCCATAGTATCTGTCTCAAGCCTTAAACCCCTAGAAGAATGGCCACCTCTGTTCAATTCAGACACCCCTGAACCTCAAAGCCTGTCTCAGAGGCATCAGCCAAACAGCCAGAATGGACACCGGCATTACTAGGTCCAAAATCAAGAGGAGAGCATCCCTCATGCAGCCAAATAAAGTACAAGCAAAAAAAAAAAAAAAGAAAAAAATTAAAATCACACAAATTTCTCTTTGAAAGAAAAGTGTAAATCTCATCACTGTCCATCAGTCTCACATCAAGAACTGTTTGGGCAAAGCTCTTTGTGCAAAGTGCCATTCCCTTGAAACCAGTGATGAGACTGGGAGAACTTCGCCAGGCAAAGGGTAATGAGATGGTGAGCTTCAAGGAACCAGCCAGTTTGGAAACCACCCGCACTGTGCCAGGGGCAGGAGATTTACTCCCTGTGCCTGAAAGACATGGAGTTCCGACAGCTGCATCCATCCGTCCTCTCGCAGCAGTCCCGAATTTCACCACCATTTCCACCGTCCCCGGGACAAATCCTTGGCGACCCCGTTCCTGCCGGACACCGCAGGCCGTCCACGCGCACGAGAGGTTTTTGGGTGACTGCTGTGGGTGTGCTGCTTCTGCTCTGCGACACCCCCAGCACCAACCCGTCTGCACCCACTCCTCACCCCGAGCATCCCCCCCCCCCCCCCCCCCAAGTTAATTTGTTCCCAGTGATGTTAACTCCCCCAACCCTAAGCGTGCTCCAGGAACCAAAGGGGAGCCCACATTTACTTCATTTGTGAAGCAAGCCAGATGCTAATTGCCTCCAAAGGTGAAAGGCTAGTGCCTTGGCCCTTTTATCATTGTAAATTCAGGTTCCTTCAAGACTTTGCGCTGCTGGGCCGGGAGAGCCTCCCCCTTTAATGGTTTGGCATCAATAGGAGGGGGAGGGGAGTTCCCTTTCGCAAGAAGTTGCATCATTGAGAGACCTTATCCCCTTTCAAGATTTCGCACCGCATAAGGGATTCCCCCTCTTCAGAAATTCACATCCTGCTCGAGGAGTTTTGCTCTTTAGGGCTCCGCGCATCCCATTGAACTTTTAAGCATCTTTGGAATTCGCATTCACGGGGCAATTACTGTCTTTTAAAAACAAAAAAAAAACCCAAACCCCAACAACAACAACAACACAAAAAAAAAACCCACCCCACACGCCGCCACCACGTTATTCACCCCGGTTTATTGCCAACGCGCTGGCAAGAATAGCTTTTCACAGCAAGCACAAAAGATTTCCTACCAGGACACACTTTGTTTGTAACATTTGTAGCCAGAGCACAAAATATTTACGGAACATTAGCCGCGCACGCGAAAATCAGGATTTAAAAAAAAAAAAGAAAAAAAAAAAAAAGATAGGGGAAAGGACGACACAAGAAAGTTACAGAGGAAAATGGGTATAAAAGGTAGGAAAGGCGAGAGCTCTCCCTGCCCGGGGGGAAGGCACCGGAGGTTCCGCGGAGGCGCACAATGAGCGGCGCGGTGCCCCGCGGAGCAGCCCCCCGGCCTCGCCGGGATGCGGGGGGAGAACAACCGCACCTCCCGACCGGCTCGGCTGTGACCCCCCGCACCCCCCAACCCCGCAGCGGTCACCGGCCAGGTGGGGACCTCCCTCCTCCAACAAAAGGGACCAACTTGGGCACAGGCTGGGAGGACCCCCCCCCTCAACCACAAGTACCCCTGGGGGGGGGGGGGGTACCGGGA